GAGAGAGAGAGAGAGAGAGAGAGAGAGAGAAAGAGAGAGAGAGGGAGAGAGAGAGGGAGAGAAAGAAAGAGAGAGAGAGAGAGAGAGAGAGAGAGAGAGAGAGAGAGAGAGAGAGAGAGACAGACAGACAGACAGACAGAGAAAATACCATCCCTTCCTTTCATACACTCGTTCATGTACTGGAGTGTAATTCCTGAATCTGGGTTAACTTCGAAGAATGCAATACCTACTGCTCCTGAGCAGAAATGTGACAAGCGAGGGAGGCAAGAGGTGTGCGAACATAACCCCGCTGCAGTCAGACCTGGAACAGGACGTTCAAACAGGCAATCAGCAAGCAGAGAAAAGGGAATTCCAGGCAAAAATGAGAGAGAGTAGTTGCTCACCGTTTGTCCCACTGATGATCCATCCCTGAATGTGAATGCCTACATTACACCAGACCAGGGCTATGGCAACGCCTATCACTGCTCCCACCGCCACATCCAGAGGACTGTGCATGCCGAGATACAACCGTCCTGCAGTTAGCAGGAATGGCCAGTCACACAGAACAGACATCGAGAGACAAGAAAGCACGGGTCAGCCATTTGCATTTGCCTCCACCTATGAGACTGAGAGAGCAACAATACAGAACAAAACATAGCCAAACAGAAGAATGTGATCAGCCGGTGATAGGCAAGCCAGCTGAGAGTCGGCAAAACCATTAACTCAAGGTCGTTTGTTTCATATCAACAGACATCACCCACCTGGTATCATTAACTCAAAATCACTAACTGCAGCTTGCAAAGAAATGGCGTCAAACCGGGTATCCAAACCCATGCTTGTGGTACATAGATAAAGAGTGTATCATTCCAGGCAAGGTAGGTAGGTAGCGGGAGGTATATTGAGAGAAGAATATAGGATAGTTTTTTACATTAAAAAAAAAAAAAACTGGCGTAAACGATGCCAGAGTGTTTATAGACATTGGCCAAGGGTTCACAATTCAATGCCTGTGGGAATCAATGACATCAAGAACCATCCCCCCTTTTCAGACAACGTTGAAGGCCCCTTCCAGGAGTTCATCTAAGATGCCACTATGCTTGTCCATGATATACCAGTCCTGAACACCTCCCGTACCTGAAAGGCTGAAACCCATCATGTTTAAACTGCAGCACAGTAGAGAATGCTTAGATAGAATTCTTCACTGGCATGCGTGCCTCTTGTACATGCTTGCACTTTGCAAAAGAAATGGCATAAACGATACCAATGCTATGGACATTGGCTGAGGGCATCAAGTACCAACCCCCTTCTCATACACCGCCGTCGATGCTCCTAAAACGGACCCTTAGCGAGTACATCTGCCAAGGGAAATTCCTCCTAAACTGAAAAGGATACCCACTTCCCCAAGGGCCAGGGTGAAAGAACCAGTTTACCATCCAGTTTGTGTGGTCCCAGCTGGTTGCCTCTTGCCCAGGTTCCTCCCCCCCCCCCCCTTTCTTCAAAAGAGGGCGACGGCCTTGAGATATCACCGTCGAGCTGACCGTCCTTCAGAATTGCGTTACTCTACTCATCTGCTTCCAGTGGAGTTCGACCGTGGGTCTGGATTTCAACAGTTCAGTAGTTTTCCTTTTCCAGTCTGCTCGGACTGTAGCCCCTCTCCACGAGTTCATCTAAGATGCCACTATGCTCATCCATGATGTAACAGGCCTCATTTAATCCCTCTCCACTCCAATGCCTGATACTCGTCATGGTTGAATTACGGGACGGTAGAGGATACTTAGATAGGGTCCTTGTCTTCCATGGCTGCCGGGTTACGTACAACAATGTGCCCACCCATTATAGAAAACTGACAATTGTCCAAATGACAATAACAATGTTACACACATTATCAACGAATAGCATACTAACTGCCCTTCACATTACACAAATTGAAAGACAAAAAAAAAAAAAAGCCCAGCTGCCCAGGCATGAAGAAGCACCGCGCTGTGGCTGCCTGTTGGCTCAATCACACATACATGTAATGGCCTCCCAAAAGACTGACAATCGGTGTTCACGGGGGTTGGTGAAACGGGCTTGTAGACTGCAACCGTCTGGCCTCCCAATGACTAATGGTGGTGTTCAACAGCATGGGAGGGATGAAGGACAAATCTGCAACTTCCTTTCACCAGGAGTACTTCTCTTTTTTTTTGTAACTTCAACCCATCAAACCATCCAAGGGTTCACAAGGTGAGTGTCATTGGGCTTTTCGCGAAATTGGTTGTGGATTTCGTAAGCAGTACATACGGACAGGTAAATAATTCCCTCGTTTAAAAAAAAAAAAAACAAAAAAAAAAAACATCCAAGGGTTCCATTGTTGAACGGTTCACTTTCTCCCATGTTACATACGTAGTTGCCCATCGTCATGCTGATGAAAACCTTCCTCTGCTCTGCATGTCTCACGATCTCTGATGAGCCAGTTCATTGCAATGAAATTGGTACAGCATATCTGGTATTTGGAGTCTTAACACTGCTACCCTAAAAGACTGACACCTTAAACCACCACCACCCTGGCTGTCCAACCAGGAAATTCCCAGTTGGTAACCAGTAGGCCCAAACCCGACTCCAAAAACAGGACCTGCACAGGTTCAGTCCGGGTGCAAATTGAAAAGGCTTCCGCAATCTTGCCACTTTCACCTGAAAAGGCCCTGCAGACAATGGCCATTTGTTGACCACATACCAGAAACAGCGGGGCTGGCCATTTGTTGACCACTTTCCAGAAAAGGCCCTGCAGACAAGTGGGATTCGCGGCAGCACCATTTCTCAAAGACTGCCCACAAGCTACTGGCAGAATACATGCAACATACACATGAGAGGGAGAGACACATGTACCAGTCCACATGCATTGCATCGCACAAGTGTGCAGAGAGGTGCGCATGTGCACACGCGACACGCACCAAAGAAAAGGACCTCTCTCTCTCTCTCTCTCTCTCTCTCTCCTGCTACTACTACGACTAGCACTCGAGTGAGAGAGCGAGAGACCACACCAGGTGGCAAAGAAAGCTAGTGACTCACCCCTGGTGGACATCGAGGTGTGCGGGTGCAACAGAAACCACGGCTCCGAAATGACAACTACGCTGCCCCTTTATTTTGTCGGGTCCTTCTCGTCTGAAAAATGCAAGATTGGATTTGGATATCGTCTCAGGGTCAAAGGCGGGCAACATAAAAGGGGTGGTGGTTTAAGCTCTCAGTGCAATGCTATTGTCTACGATCATCACTACGACATTGCTAGGACATTTCACAGTGCGGGATATACTTTTACAGCTATAAGATTTGCCTGGGGCACGTACTGGTGTGTCAATGGTATCTTGTAGACTGGATATCCAGTATTATCCACACACTTCTCCACTACTATATTTATCTTGAAGTGTGATTGATGAGCTGCCATAATTATCACCCTGTGATGGTGCCCAGCACCAAGGCATCCAACTGTAAATCAACCAAGAGCATCCTCACCAAAATAGCATATAGGTAATAAATGGGCATTGGGCACTTTACAGTAAATCAGTGACAAGACAAGCAGAAAATTGGGCGACGACTGTCAATGGCGCAAGAGGAACAAGCATCAAACAAACATATAACAGGGAGTATACGCCACTGTATGGTACTACTTTGGACAGTTGGGATAGAATAGCATCGTAATCCAGGAGTGTGACTCCGGAGGACGATGAGCTGGAATGGTGAGGGATTGGATTGACTTAAACAAGTTAAAGCTCTTCCATGTGGAGCCACGTGTAGCCCTCGGATAAACACTATCATGCCAAGGACTGTTCGATGACCCCTCTGCAGCAAGGTCAGTACCACAGGACAGTCTACCCATCTTGTGGTCCCATCAACTCTTGCTCGCCTTTATTTAGGACGACAACGTACACGTGCGGGCAACGGGAACTGTTCATCCAGTGCCCTTCGCTTGAACGTCCTGTTCCCCACCCAGGTCAGAATCCCACTCAGATAACCACTGCTCAAGGGGTGTCAAGTGTAACCGACACAGGGGCTCGGTTCCTACACAACATTCTTGCAAGAAGAAATAACTGCACCTCCTATGGACACTAGATGACCCGTTGCGGCTTCGCCCGCAAAAACAGGAAAGGAAAAAAAGCACAAAAGAAAGAAAAAGCATAAGGAACTCCCCTATCATATTCCGCCGAGCCTTTTTTTCCCTTTATCATGAGTGTTTTGTTTGGGGAGCCATTACCTTCGCAGCATCGTTTTTGTTTTGTGATGTGCAAGAACTCCTCCACTTTTCTGAGAAAATCCTGTCCATTGTCCCGTTGATGTTTTTGCAGCTAAGCTAAAGATTCAGATTCAGACTTTGTTTGCTGTGTTCTCTGGATATGTTTGTGATCAACCCATCTTGCATGTATGCATGCCCCGTGCTTACTTGTTGAGTTTTTTCGCTATGTGCGCAAGTGCATGCGTGTGTGGGCTCGTCTCACTTTGGTGGGCTCGGATGATGTCATTGATGATTGGCCCGGGGAAGTTGGAAGTCGCCTCCAACAACAATAGGAGTGCCACTGATGTTAAGAAGCAGGGGTTTTGCATTGTATGAATGATGAAACAATCAGCAGCATTCAATCTGCTTCGCAGTTGCTCTTCACGTGGGGGACTTGTCGGGAGTAGCATTGACATGAGAGCATCTTGGAGCATTTCCGGGAAGGCAAAATGCAAAGAAGAAATGAAGTACCACGTGTCAGAGTCACATAACGGACAGCTTGGCACAGTCCCCCCCCTTCTCTCTCTCACACACAAAAAAAAAAAAAAAACAAAAAAAAAAAAAATCAAAAGACAAAAGACAAAATACAAACGACATCCTGGCACTTGGGGCGGCTATACCACTCACCACCTCGCCGGCTTCCCCTCACCCTCCTTTCCGCCGTCTATCTCTCTCTCTCACACACACATACGGAAAAAAA